TCAGGCTGCCTGTGCTCTTGGTTGACGTTCATTTCATGGACACCCCGTTAACTACTCCCCATGGTTGGGAACTTAGGTTATTTCCAAGTCTTTCGTGTTTGGGTCACATCCTTCTGGCTCAGTCCTTACATACTTTCATTATCGTTGTTTTAGGGTCATTCCCTAGAAGTGCTTGCTGGATTAAGGAGGACACTCTTAGGGCTTCTAAGAGTACCAAAGATTCTTGCAGGACGGTTTAGTTGGTGGCGTCTGTGGTGTCTGGGTGTGTTGAGGGGGTGTTTGGCCAAATTCACCGAGTCTGGGCATCTTTCCTCGGTGGAAGAGGGCTTTTCAAGCACCATGCCCACTGTAGGACACGTGGGCCAGTTTTGCAGCTGCTGGTGCCACTGGCCGTTGGTGGTACCCTGGGTGCCTGAGGACAGTCAGGGGTGAGAAGGAACTGGCCAGAAGCCCGCCAGGGAGGCATCCGAGGCCACCTTTGTTTGCTCCTGGAAGGTGACTGAAATGCCTTGTTTCCTCTCCTTTCTCCCCATGGACTCCACCTAGGAGGCCAGCCACGACAGGGCTGGCTGTGTGTCCGGAGCGAGTGCCTGTCTTCACTTACTCTCATGGGCTTAGAACCGCTTCCTCCTTGAAATGGGGGCACAGCAGGAGATGTGTGCGTGGTTGCTTCATGTCTTTATTTGGCAAAGTTAAAGGTTGCAGCCCTCTCTTCCCACTTCCTCCCCCACCTCCTCTCTCCCGGTTTTCATTTTGGTTTCACTGTTTCACTGACATCTAGAAGTCAAGGCAGCACTGTTAGAACCAGCTCTTTCCAATTGGCTGGGGAGGACTCAGTCCTGTGAGAGCACGCAGACACACTTGCCTTGATGACCTGTTGTATCTGGTGGAGAGGCACCAGGGAGCTCGCATCATAAGGATGTCTACCAGCCATGTGTGTGCTTGTGTATACATGACTCTAGCCCAGAAGGCTGGGGAGAAACTCGATGCATCTTTTCCTCAGGGTACCCAGGTCCATCCTGAGAGTGAGAGCACAAGCACAAGTGTGTGTGTGTCCATACATGTGCATGCACATACGTACACATGTATGCACATGTCCATACACGTGTGCATGTACATTGCATACATGTGTAGGTGAGTGTTTGTGTATGTGTGTATGTGTGCCTATGTGTGCACACGTTTGTGTGCATGTGTGCATGCACGTGTGCATGAGTATATGTGTGCATGTGCATACTTGTGTGCACGTGTATGTGGGCACACATGTACACGTGTGTGCGTACGTGTTTTGCACACTTGTGCATGCACGCATAAATGTGGGTGTATTGTGCGTGTATGTGTATACATATGCATGTATGGGCATGGATGTGTATATGTGTGCACATGTGTGAATGGGTTGTGTGCATACATGCGTACGCATGTGTTCAGTGTATATTGTGTGTGTATGTGTGAGTGGGTGTTGTTTGTACACACGTGTTCAGTGTATATGCGTGTGGGTGTGTATTGTGTGCATGTTTATACACGTGTGTGTCCAGTGGATGTGTGTACATGTGTGCATGGGTGTGTGTGTCATATGTTTGTACACACGTGTTCAGCAGATAGGTATATAGATGTGTGTGTCTGTCTCCCCGTCCATTCTTCCTGTCCAGGCGGTGTCCAGGCAGGTAGGCGGGATTCTCCCGGCTCACGGGGCCCTGGTGGCCGTATCTGAGTCTGCATCCCTATGGCCCTCTCTGCAGGTTCTCCCATGGGCAGGTGGTCTCTGTGGATGAGCTGCGCCCCTTCCAAGACCCGGACCTGAGCTCCCTGCAGGCCGGCTCTGCATGCCTGGCCAAGCGGCAGGATGGCCTCTGGCACCCCGCACGGATCACTGGTGAGGCTGCCCGGGGCCTCCCTGACGGGGTCCTTTCTCGGAACCCTCCCCGTGTGTCACACATTAGTCCTGCCCAACAGCTTCTCTGTTTGGGCATTGGGATCCCACTCCACGCCCAAGAGGAGCAAGGCCCCGCCTTGGCCTCGGCCCCGCCCTGCTCCCAGCTTCCAGAGTGGCTCCTTCCCATGTGTTGAGGCCACTGCCCTGCTGCCTCTGTGCCCCCCCAGATGTGGACAGTGGCTACTACACGGTCAAATTTGACTCTCTGCTGTTGAAAGAGGCCGTGGTGGAGGGGGACAGCATCCTGCCCCCGCTGCGCACGGAGCCCGCAGGTTCCTCTGACTCAGACGGCAGTGACGTGGACGATCCCAGCTATGCTCGAGGTATGGCTGCTGCCACCCTGAGAGGCTCCTGGCTGGCAGGGTCCCATACTGTGGTCAGTACGTGGACGCACTCGGGGCAGGGGGCAGGCGCGAGGCCCCCACGGCGGGCAGGGGAGATGAGAGGGTGCATGATGGGTCTGGGGCAGGTCCGGAGACCCACAGATGCAGAAACCCAGAATGATGACAGTCCCACGCGAGCCACAGGAGTAGATGGGACGCACAGGAAGGGACGGTTTCCTGCAGGGCATGGGGACCTGGCGGGTGGACAGAGGAACTGGCTAGCAGTGTCTGGCCCTCCCCCAGGGGGGTGTCCGCCTGGGATCTGTTAGCCAAGTTGTCCACGCTGATGGAGGGGAGGACTGAGCCGGCAGGTAGAGGCGAGTACTGTTCTCTGTTAGGGGAACGGCAGCACCCACCTCCAGGGAATAGGATGGGGGCCACCACGTGACCAGGTTGTGACCCTGAAGTGTGGAGAGGGCTGGGCTCTGCCACAGGCTCTGCCTGTCGTTCGCACCACACAGCCCTGGGCAACTGGCAGGGAGCCAGGGGTGCCGGGGATTGGCCCTGGCCCAGAGCTGAGCTCTTGGGCTAACCTTGGCCGGAGCCCAGGATGCCCCGCGTCCAGCTGGGTTAAGCTGTTGCCCTCTGATGCCTGCAGTGGTGGAACCTGCTGCTGCTGACCCCGGGACCTGCAGCTCCGCCTTCGCCGGCTGGGAGGTGCACACGCGGGGCATCGGCTCCAGACTCCTCGCCAAGATGGGCTATGAGTTTGGCAAGGGTGAGTGTGAGCTGCACAGGGGGGTGAAGGGCTCCCTCAGCACGGCCCCAGAGTCCAGTGGCAGTGCCAGCTCGGTGTACCCCCAGGTCTGGGCCGGCATGCGGAGGGCCGGGTGGAGCCCATCCACGCTGTGGTGCTGCCGCGAGGGAAGTCGCTGGACCAGTGTGCGGAGGTCCTGCAGAAGAGGGCCGGGGGCAGCCAGGCTGGCGCCAGCAGGCCCCCGAAACGCCGGGGTAGAGGGGCTGGGCCTCGGGGCCGCCCACCGTCTCGCAATGTGTTCGACTTCCTGAACGAGAAGCTGAAAGGCGGGGCTCCTGGGGCCCTGGAGGCGGGGGTGGCGCCCCCGGGAAGGAGTGGCGAGGAGGTGTACCACGCCAGCAGGAGTGCCAAGCGCGCCCTGAGCCTGCAGCTCTTCCAGACGCAGGAGAAGATCGAGCAGACCCAGCGAGCCATCCGGGGCATCCAGGAGGCCCTTGCCCGCAATGCTGGCCGGTACGTGTGGGCCCTGCCCGAGCCACGCCGCACCCCTGCCCGCGGTGCCTGGGTGAGAGCTCGCCCCGACCTGAGGGCGGCGGGCCAGATCTGAGGAGGGGCTGGAGGATGATGGGCAGTGCTGAATGGCGGGCCCCTCCCCAGGCACAGCGTGACAGCAGCCCAGCTGCAGGAGAAGCTGGCGGGAGCCCAGCGGCAGCTGGGGCAGCTCCGGGCCCAGGAGGCGGGCCTGCAGAGGGAACAGAGGAAGGCGGACACCCACAAGAAGATGACTGAGTTCTAGGGCCCCCACACGTGGCGTGGACAGAGCTCAGGGACCCCGGCTCCCGCTGCCCTCAGGAAGACCAGCTGTCGCTTGACAGCTAGAATGCCACCGGAAGAGGGGCCAGCCCTCACAGTTGGCCTTCTTGCCGGCCTCGGGCTTGTGGCCACTGCTGAGAGGAGACAGGCTGCAGGGGTCCCTGTCAGGTCCCTTCCTGACACTTCCTTGACCATTGAGCCCACCTGCCAGTGTCCTGGGCTGTCTCCTGAGCAAGGACATTAAAGTGACTTTGTTGCAGTGTCTTTTAGTGGAGGCTCGGCTGGCTGTGGGGACTTTGAGGACGAGGGGTCTTTGCACCGGGTCACGGGGCTGGGCTGGAGGGGTCCTGAGTGAGGGTGCTGCCCAGCACCCTGCCCAGAGGCAGAGGGCCCGGGAGGACGGGCATCCTTGCTGCTCTCCCAGATGCGGTCACAGCCTAGGGTGCCCCCCACATTGCCTGACATCCACAGACGGGTGAGCCCGGTGCTGCAGTGATGGAAGGAGACCATGGCTGTGCGGGACCAAGAGGGAGCGCCGTTATCGAGGCAGAAGGACCCGGTGGGGCGGGGGGTGTTGGCACCCTGGGTCCATGCCCGCCTGTCTTGTCGCCTACATGCACCCACTGCATCGTGGGTGGAGACAACATGATTCAGGGCCTCTGATCAGCACCAGCTCGCAGCACACCCCTGCCAAGTCCCGTCTAGGCCCCAGGCAGGGCCACGGCATGTGGGTGAGGCTGCCGTGGCAGCTGCGCGGGAAGACGTGGCGTGGTGCATGGGCATGAAGTGAGGTGGGGAGCTGGGCCAAGGGCGACACGAGGCCTCGTGGCTCGAGGTGCCCAAGCTGCCCGCCACGCTAGGTGCTGAATGGGCCCTATCAGGGCATTGGGACCTGGGCCGTCTGGTGAGGAAAGTCCACTCCCTGGGTCTGAGCAGACTGGCCCCCACTTTCGGAGACAGCTCCACGCTGCTGGCCCCTCACCTCTGGCACCTGTGCCAGGACTCAAGGAAGCGGATGTCCGATGGCAGGGGCAGTTGGAGGGGAGGGATGGAGAGCCGGGGTGGGGTGGTCAGTGTCCAAAGCAGCCCTTCCTGCCTGCTGACCCCCAGCTTTCCAGCCTCTCAGGGGGTCAGTCTCTGTAGTGGACAGCTAGGAGGCATCACCTGGACAGGAGCCATGCCTGGGCAGGACATGGCTGTAGGTGAGTCTGTGGCCTGTGGCTTGCTAGCCTGGGGTGTGACCTGGGGGCCTCCCCGGCTCTCAGGTTTGGCCTCAGTGACCACAGTCGGGCCTTGGCCAGGTCCCAGCTGCCCTGCCCCTCCTCAGCTGGCCGTGCTTGGCCATCACTTGAGTCATCTTTGCCAACTCAGGTCCTCATGGGGGCCAGGCAGAGCATGCCTCACCCCTCACCAGCAGCCCCTGGGCAGAGGCGGGAGGATGGGCGCTGAGGCTGTGTCCCCTCGGCCTCCATAGGAGGGAGGGGCTGCTGAGCCTTGGGGTTTCCTGTGTGCTGAGTCAGAGCACGGGGTGGCGGGGGTGTGGCGGTCGCAAGAATAGCCCGGTTGACCACTGAGTCCAGCTATGGCACCTATCTGGTTGGGGGTCCAGTCTAGCAGTGTTTCAGAAAGCTGGAGAACCTAGAAGGGCTCCAGACCTGTTCTCTCGGGGCTCTGCTGGGGAGTGCTCCAGCAAACATGGGGGGGGGGGTGGGGGGGGGGGGACCTTCCAGCAGCACAAGGTGCAGAAGTGGGGCTGTCAGGTTGGTGCCCAGTCCCTCAGCCCCTAGCACCCTGTCTTCTGCCCCCAGGCCCATCCACGGCTTCGCAGGATGAGGCCACAGGTACCCTCGGCCCTCTTGCCCTCTGGGGCCTAGTGCGTCTCGCCCTGCTCCTCTGGCTGTGGGTGTTAGCACAGCCTGCCACAGGTGTGACCGTCCCTGGCCCGGGTGGGGCCTGGCTCAGCTCTACAGCCAGAGGCCACACCCTCCACCGGCCCTGAGGCCACCTATTCCAACGTGGGGCTAGCTGCCATCCCCAGGACCGGGCTGGCAGTCACCTCTGGGGTGTGGGCAGGGGCACAGCTGACCAGCAGCTGTGCCAGGCCTGGTCCCGAGGCCAGACCCCTGGTGGCTGAGTATGCGTGTGTCCAGAAGCTCAAGGGGACAGATGGGGGCCCCCGAGGCCTGGAGCAGGGGAAAGTTGAGGCTACCCCAGCTGCTCAGGTGAAGTGAAGGGTGTGAGGTAGGGTGGGTGGGCAGACTGGGCAGATCCTTGGCCGAGTGGATGGTGCTGACCCCTCCCTGGACTGGCTTCCTCTCTCCAGGTGAACATCCTATATTCCAGGGTCAGCAGGCCTAAAAGGAGGGACCCAGGACCTTCCACAGACCAGCCAGACCCCAAGGGTGGGGAAGCGAGTTTGGCTCTGGGGAGTGACCTGGCCTACGAGGTCCTCCCTCTCAGGGGCCTGGGCGTGGACAAGAGCCTCCTGGAAAACGTGTATGCGAGCGTCCAGGAGATGGAGGCCCCTGGGCACCTGGAACCCCCCAGCTCCAACCCCTACCAGGAGAGGACATGTGCAGGGCATGGAGAGCCCCTGCTTCCTGTCTAAGCCTGGGGAGGAGTCTTCATCCCCTCTGCCATGAACACCCAAGTACAGATGATCCTTCCTCCAGAGTGGGGTGCGACCCCTCACTTGCCACAGAGTCCCCTCCCCCATACGCGGCTAACAGCACGAATTCCGGATAGCAGTGCTGTCATCCTATGGGGTCCCTAGGGTCCTGGCTGCCATGTCCTCTCTAGGGCAGGGTCTCAATAAAGCCCCAGCTCAGGGAGCATGAACACTGCTATACCTCAGCCTGCTCTTCTTGAAAGCCTGGGAGGCTTGGCGGGGTGGGGTCTGGAAGGAGTGAAAACCTCTCCTTGGGAATGGGCTTCCTCCCGCTGGGGGTGCTGGGTACCTGCGCCCTGTCACCTGGGGCCGCTGGCTGGTCGGGCTCAGAAGACCGAGTGGGGAGGGAGGCAAGCCCTGGCGGGCGGTCCTCAGGCCGAGGGGCTCCTCCGAGCGGTGAGCCGGCCCACAGGGTGGCTACCCCAAGGTGAGACCTGAACCCTGAACGACAGGGAAGGCTCCGCCACCCAGCCCCCGGAGTTACATAAGGGGCGCGGGAGGTGGGCAGTCGTGCGTTAAAGAATAACCTGCTCCCGGGAAGCCCGCCAAGGAGACGCGGCCTCCTCCCGGGTCCGGCAGCTCGTGCAGGGGCATCCCTCGAGGAAGCCGGCCCGC